ACACACACACACACACACACTCACACAGACACACACACACACACACACACTCACACAGACACACACACACACACACACATACTCTCACACACACACACAGAGTGAGATGACGTTACAACACTTTCATGTCTATCACTGCCAGAAAACAAGGACTGTTTGTACAAATAACGAGTACAATAAGACTTTTTCAAATGTAATTAAAAGGAGAAAGAGACTAATATGCTCATTATATGAACACACACACAAGAACACATCGTCTTCTCCACTTTATTGTTAATGTAAGAGCAACGCAGCCATTTGTGACTTGAATGTTTGTGGCTTGCAGTGTCATTCACTTCTAGTTATTTTATCTGTAAAAAACAGTTTCTTGTGCTGCTTGATATTGCAAACTGGAATTTGTTATCAGATTATTTGAATGTGTTATACTCGTAAGCACTGGTTTGCAGCTCAGATAGTCGTGTTGTTTGCTACACTGGTGTTATTCTTCTGCTGGTAGTGACTAATGAGTGAGAAGTCTCGCACAATCACAGAAAGAGCTGTACTGCTGCCATTAAAACAAATAATGTTGAGAGCATTGTTTTGAAATGTTTTTCCAGTTTTGACATTTTGGTTGTCAAAACATTAGAATATTCTACTAACTTTAATTTTTATTTTAAATAACATTATTTGAACATTTATTATTAATATTCTAAGAACATTAAAATGTCCAGTTTTCTTGCATTATTTTAAAGTTACAAAAACGCACTAATAGAGTGTGTCCGCTAGATGGCAGTGCAACACTTCTGCTGATCCGCGGACCACTAGAACTTTAGTACACGGTCTTATCTTTCGTTTTACATTCATTACAACAACATGCTTCATCTGAAAGCTTCATCTGTTTTATAACTTATGAACATAACATGAACACGACTGTGACGCACCAATAAAAACAAACGCCGCAGTGCATCTCGGGAAATGTAGTTTTGTGATAACTGCGCACATCGTATTTCTTGCAGTTTATTCATATTTCACATTGCACAAAAAGGATGACAGCGACTCGATTTTAGCGACTCTCAGTGTGAATATTAAGTAAAAAATACTAACATAAGCACATGTTTAATAAGTTTGAACGATCCAAAATAGCAGTACGAGGGCGTTACTAGCTCCTATTCTCGCGAGATTTAAGTGAACAGTCGCGTCTTGTCGCTCTTTTTATTCATGAATATTCAAAAAGCCGTCAACTTTTGAGAAAATGGTTTAAAACATACACAATACCAGCACAAAATAAATCTAACACCTCCCTGATCCCTGTCACATATCTCTGAAGCGTCCGCCTGAGGACGTGAACTCTCGCGATGGTTTGCAATTCCCGCGAGCTTACAGTGACGTTCCCCCCTTCTTATATTTATTTTTATTATGCAAAAACAGTACAAATATACGATAGAACACCACTAGAAAATTCCAGGCTATACTAAAAACAGCATTCCGGTCAGTCTGGGTTGCCAGGTTTTCGCAACAAATCCGCTCAATTGCCTATTCGCACCCCAGCGGCTAAATATCAGGTTATTGGGCTCACTTCAACCCACGAACATGAAAATACATATCTATGGAAAACATAACCCCAGGTTAAGGCTAGATGGTATACAGATTAATCTACTGGGCATGCGCACATCAATATAGCATCATTTCTATCACACTGTACAACAATAATGACTGTTTTTGCATTATTGTAAGGGGTAGGTTTAGGGTCGGTGTAGGTGTAGACGTTAAAAAACACAAATTAAATGTATTGTCAGCTTCCGGTTTTAGCCTGTATCCCTCCGAGCCACAAAGTAGCAGCAAAACCGCGGACTTGGCAACACTGATGAGGGCGACGCGAACTCTCGCGCGTTTGTTTCTCGCGAGATTTGCCTCGTCCGCGTTCAGACTCCATGATCCGCGCGCCGCGATCGTTCATGACGCCCCTCCGCGCGTCGAGCGGCGCTCGTATCCCCGCTCAGATGGACTAAAGAGCGATCCGCGAGGATGGAGAGCGTTAAACTGAAGAAGAGCGGCGCTCCGAGTGCGGCCTTGAGATCCGCGGCCGATGAAGAAGACGACGAAGGCCAGGGAGCGTCGAAGCCGCGTCAGAACCGGAGCCCCGCCGAGCTGAGGAAGAGGAGGGTGAGGAGGCACGCGTCTCTGGACCGGCAGAGACACCGAGCCGCTGCTCCGCTGCAGCTGTGCGACCGGCAGTGGGTCCGCCAGGATCTGCGCCGCGGCTCCGTTCACGTCCATGACCGGCTGACGGTGCGGTCGCTCCCGCCGCGGCTCGTGCTGTGCACCGCGGACTGCACCGCGGCCGAGATCGCGCAGCGCCTGAGCGGCAAACCGGGCTCGGTCCTGAGGCTCACCGCCAAGACGGACGTGAACGGGAACTGCGACGGCGACCGGCTGCGGCTGCTGCTGCTGGAGAAGGAGCACCGGTTCCGGTTCGACATCTGCACCGAGCCCCAGGACGAGGACTCCGTCAAACGGTCCGCGGGCTCCGATGTGGAGAGCAGCAGCGACCTGAGCTCCGGGGCCCGGTTCAGCCGGCACCGGGACTCGCTCAGCGACGACATGACCCTGGGCACCGACGCTTCGGCGCTCGAGGGCCTGGACGCGTACGGCAGCTCCTCGGACGAGCTGGAGCTGGACTGTCCGGTAACGGATGGAGCCGAGGCGGGTCCCGCCGGTGACTGGGACTCCGGACCGGCGCTGTACGTTCAGCTGCACGGCGAGGCGGCGCGGCGCCTGGGGCCCGAGGAGAGGCCCCTGCAGCTCCAGAACGACTTCCTCTTCAAGCTGGGATTTAAGGACCCGTGGCGGGTTCAGGAGGAGGGCATGAACACCGAGCTGGGCTCGCTGCTGCGCTTCTACGCAGGTAAACCGTGTTCGCTTCACGCAGGTGTTTACATCAGAGTCAGCTGTGCTCGTGCTTACAGTAAACGCTGCTGAGTGCGGCTCATGTTCACGGGCTGCTGTGGGTTGTAGGATTTGGGAATCAAAAATCAGTTCCAATTCCAGAATCGGATACTTCACTCCCGGCCGTCAGTTCCTGTGTGCGCATCTTGTTTTTTAGGTGGCTGTTAAAAATGTATTTGTCTTTGAATCGTTCATTCAAGAGATTCATTCAGATACACTGATTCCTCCAGTAATGAAACGAGTGAAGCTTGAGTGAGTCGTTGAATCATTCATTACACGCTCCACGAGGTTTTGTTCAGTTGTCTGATATTTTTCTTTGGGATTGTGAGAGAACTACAACCTCCATAAAAAAAAACAAAAAAAGTAAATTTATCCAGAATCGTGCCGCTCTATATTACACACACACAGCTCTTAATTTAGCCCAGTTTTTATGTAGCCGGCTTTTGTGAAGCTGAATAAATAATCTTTCCATTGATGTATGGTTTGTTAGGATCGGACAATATTTGGCTGAGATACAACTATTAGAAAATCTGGAATCTGAGGGTGCAAAAAAATCTAAATATTGAGAAAATCATCTTTAAAGTTGTTCAAATGAAGTTCTTAGCAATGCATATTACTAATCACAAATTACGTTTTGATATATTTACAGTAGGAGATTTACAAAATATCTAAATGGAACATGATCTTTACTTAATATCCTAATGATTTTTGGCATAAAAGAGAAATCAATAATTTTGACCCATACAATGTATTGTTGGCTATTGCTACAAATATACCTGTGCTGCTTATGACTGCTTTTGTGCTCCAGGGACACACATGTCTCACATGCTTCTCCTAAAACTCCTGTGAAGGACACACATAAGGTGCTATAAAGTGAATGTGAGAAATATTTGCGTTCGCAGAGAGGTTTATTTGCAGAGACGCTGACACTGACGGTCCAGAACAGACTCGTGAGGTCTTTATCGCAGGGTGCTGGTGAACATAGATCGGCATTTCATTCGGAATTGCAGTGGCTTTGCATTGCTCTTTATACAGTTCTTTTACTTTACAAATAATACAACCCTACTTTACAAACATGTGCATGCAGAAGATTTGAGGTGAGAGATCAGCTCTCTGACAGAACTCAAGCGGTTGTTATACAGTGTGTTCATGTGCAAAACAGTTCTAACACTTTATTGATTTACTGTACAAATGAACAACCTTGCAAATTTTACTTTCAGAAGTGTTTCGAACACACAGAATGCACATGCATGCAGAAGATTTGGCATCAGATATCAGCTCGCTGTATGGGACATGTTGTTATACTGCATGTGCATTTTAAAAACTACTGCAACAACCCTTGAGTCTTTTACTTATTTTAAACAGAACTCGACATGAATAACCATGCACATTTTGCTTTGCTGTAATGTTTACATGCACACAGAACACGTGTGCATTCAGTACAGTTTGCGTGAGAGGTCTGCTCATGTGATGTCACCATACACAACGTCAGAACAAGCATGCATTCACAACGATCCTGCATGTTTATGTTCCCATGGATCTCTCTCTCTCTCTCTCTCTCTCTCTCTCTCTCTCGCTCTCTCTCTC